ACTCAAAATCACACAACTACATGAAAACTACACAACATGCTCCTGAATGACTACTGAGTAAATAATGAAATTAAGATATAAATAAATAAGTTCTTTGAAATCAATGAGAACAAATGCACAATGTAGCAGAATCTCTGGGACACAGCTAAAGTAGTGTTAACAGGAAAATTTATAGTACTAAATGCCCACATAAAAAAGTGAAAAATATCTACAATCGACACCCTAACAACACAGTTAAAAGAACTAGAGAAGCAAGAGCAAACAAATTCAAAAACTAGCAGAAGACAAGAAATAACTAAGATCAGAGCAGAACTGAAGGAGACAGAGACATGAAAAACCCTTCAAAAAATCAACAAATCCAGGAGTTGATTTTTGAAAAGATTAACAAAATAGATAAGCTGCTAGGCAGACTATTAAAGAAGAAAAGAGAGAAGAATCAAATTGGCAATATAAAAAATGATAAATGATATCACCACTGATACCACAGAAATACAAACTACCATCAGAGAATACTATAAACACCTCTATGCAAATAAACTAGAAAATCTAGAAGAAATGGATAAATTCCTGGACACATACACTGTACTAAGACTAAACCAGGAAGAAGTTGAAACCCTGAATAGAACAATAATAAGTTCTGAAATTGAGGCAGTAATTGATAGCCTACCAACCAAAAGAAGCCCAGAACCATAGCTGAATTCTATCAGAGGTACAAAGAGGAGCTGGTATCATTCCTTCTGAAACTATTCCAAACAATAGAAAAAGAGAGACTCCTCCCTAAGTCATTTTACGGGGCCAGCATCATCCTGATACCAAAATCTGATAGAGATACCACAAAAAAAGAAAATTTCAGGCCAATATCCCTGATGGATGTCAATGCAAAAATCCTCAACAAAATCAGGCAAACTGAATCAGGCAGCATATAAATAGCTTATCCACCATGATCAAGTTGGCTTCATCCCCAAGATGGAAGCCTGGTTTAACATACACAAATCAATAAACGTAATCTAACACATAAACAGAACCAATGACAAAAATCACGATTATCTCAATAGATGCAGAAAAGGCTTTGATAAAATTCAACACCCCTCCATGCTAAAAACACTCAAAAGCCTGGGTATTGATGGAACACATCTCAAAATAATAAGAACTACTAATGACAAATCCATAGCAAATATCATACTGAATGGGCAAAAACTGGAAGCATTCCTTTTGAAAACTGGCACAAGACAAGGATGCCTCTCTCATCACTCCTATCAACATAGTATTGGAAGTTCTGGCCTGGGAAATCAGGCAAGAGAAAGAAATAAAGGGTATTCAAATACGAAGAGAGAAAGTCAAATTGTCTCTGTTTGTAGATGACATATTTGTATATTTAGAAAACTCCATCGTCTTAACCCCAAGACTCCTCAAACTGATAAGCAACTTCAGCAAAATCTCAGGATACAAAATCAATGTGCAAAAAATCACAAGCTTTCCTATACACCGATAATAGCCAAATCATGAGTGAACTCCTATTCACAATTGCTAGAAGGAAATTAAATACCTAGGAATACAACTTACAAGGGCCATGAAGGACCTCTTCAAGGAGACCTACAAACCACTGCTCAAGGAAATAGGAGAGGACAAAAACAATTGTAAATATATTCCATGCTCATGGGCAGGAAGAATCAATATCATGAAAATGGCCACACCGCCCAAAGTAGTTTATAGATTCAATGCTATTCCCATCACGTTACCACTGAATTTCTTCACAGAATTAGAAAAATCTACTTTAAATTTTATATGGAACCAAAAAGAAGCCCATATAGCCAAGACAATCCTAGAGAGAGAGAACAAAGCTGGAGGCATCCTGCTACCTGACTTCAAACTATACTACAAGGCTACAGTAACAAAAACAGCATTGTACTGGTACCAAAACAGATATATAGACAAATGGAACAGAACAGAGGTCTCAGAAATAACAGCACACATCTACAGCCACCTGATCTTTGACAGACCCGACAAAAACAAGCAATAGGGGGAGGATTCCCTATTTAATAAACAGTGTTGAGAAAACTGGCTAGCCATATGCAGAAAACTGAAACTGGACCCCTTCCTTACACATTACACAAAAATTAACTCAATTGGATTAAAGACTTAAATGTAAGACCTAAAACCATAAAAACCCTAGAAGAAAACCTAGGCAATACAATTCAGGACATAGGCATGGGCAAAGACTTCATGATTAAGACACCAAAAGCAATGGCATCAAAAGCCAAAATTGACAAATGGAATCTAATTAAACTAAAGAGCTTCTGCACAGCAAAAGAAATTATCATCAGAGTGAAGAGGCAACCTACAGAATGGGAGAAAATTTTTGCAATCTATCCTTCTGACAAAGGCCTAATATCTAGAATCTACAAGAAACTTAAACAAATTTACAGGAAAAAAAAA